TGCCAGGTCCAATGTAGATAAAGAAAGATTCTGAAGGTATTTTGCTAAAATGGGAAGATTTTGCTGTGTTTTTGGATGCTCCAGCCGCTCAGATAGAGACAACCACCTTTCTTTTTTAAAAATTCCGACTGTAATTAACCACCAGGGCGTGTTCACGTACGAACTTTCGCAAAAAAGGCACGATTGATAGATCGCAAGGCAAACATCAGGAGAGATGCAGTGAAAAATAGCGACGTCAAGTATCCACATGTGTGTTCTATTCACTTCCTTGAAGGTGAGAGTCTTGAAACAGTTGTAATGATTTAAATCCTTATATACTACTTTTGAAGTTGCTGAAGGCTAATGTCTCATTTTTATTTCTAGGAAAGCCGGCAGATCTTTACGATGAAACGCATCCAGACTGGGCGCCGACAAAGAACATGGGACATTCTTCAAGTCCTGTCAAGAAACCAAGTTCCAAATGTGCTCTAGCTCGACAAAAACGAACCAAGGAAAGGCAAAGCAAGAAGCGGAAATGTGTTCAAAAATTGTTTAAAGAAATGGACTGCGAGTGCGAGATGAACATTATCGGAGAGGGTGATGGCGAGAAGGAGAACATTTATGTCGAAGCATCTGCGATGGAAGAAACACGTTCACTCGCATACACTTTTGCTACCATTCAAAGTTACCTTTCTATGCAGGATATAGAGGAACTAGAAAACTTAGGTAAGAGTACCATATAATCCCATACATTAATTATGCATTCAGACTAGTTGACTTTGTTTTTAAAGTTTTTTCGTGAAAGACAAAGAAGTGGAATGCATAATTAATGTATGGGGTCATATGGTACTCTTTCCAAGACTTGGCCTACCGATTTGGAGTTCGTGCATCTACTGTGTCAAGAGTGTTCCAGACCTGTAATGTTTACATCTATGGCGTTTTTAGTGAAATGGCCGAATACCAAATGGCCAGAGAGAGAGGAACTGAAACTGACATCGTCAGCCTGCTTCAGAGATAATTTTTCTTCGTGTCCTGTCATTATTGACTGCTTTGAAGTTTTTATGGTTAGACCTTCATGTAAACAAACTTGTCAAAACAGTTCAGTATTCTTCAACGACGTCACATACAAAAGGTTTTCCTTAACTTTCCGATCAAAATTGTAGTGTCTTGAGTAGCTTTTCCCACAAATATAGTTCTTATCCAACCAGCGACGAAGTATTGGTAAGACTGCAGGCTTTTGTATGCTTTTAGTTGCTCCTTGGTGAACTTGCTCGTTGAGAACAGCAAGTAGCTCACGATATCAGGAACTCGATCTCTGGCCATTCGTCCATTGACTGCGAGTAAAAGTTGTCACTGACGGCATAGGGATCAATTCCCACCGTAAATTTTAGCTTCTCGTCGTACATCTGTCGATTCTGAGCGCTTAAGGAGTCGCAGTAACCTCTCAAGGATGGGACAAGCTCACATTGTGTAGCCGCCATTTTGTTTGACCTGGCATACAAGATGGCGGCGTAGTTACGGTTGCTATGATATCACGTGATGCGTGTAAAACCTCTCACACAAAACACAGCCTTCCCGTGAGTAAGGTCTCACTTTCCCGTGGGCAAAAGGTCTAGTGTAACTATAACTACTATTTGCTTCGTGTTAAAGCCAGTGGTCTGTAAACAAATAAATTTTGGTTAAAAATCGCTCTCAGTTACTTCAATAAAGTCTACTTCGATAATTTACGCGCAAACGTCCAACTTTGAGCGCGGTACAAAATCATATGTAGCTCCTTAACAGACATTCCCTGGTTTCAGGTCGCGATTTACCAAGACATTCCTTGAAGGCAAAAATTCAAGTCCCTCGTCAGCTCGGCGATAGCAATCCCTGCCTTGGGAAAAACCACTTCAGTATAAAATGTTGAAAGGCCTCGCCTATTTGTGTGCTATCGAGGCAATGCAAAAATACGAGGATATCTGAAATCTGAACATCAATAGCGAATGGCAGGAAATGAAAACACTGACTCGCTACTCGTACGCCACCATTACGCATTACAGCGATCGGTTTAAGACAAACAGCGACCTTAAGATGCCGCAGATTTTGTAACATCTTCGTCTCCTTTGCTACGATCTTCAGATTTGAGTCTCCCGGTGCCGCCGAAAAAAACAAAATCGCTTCACAACCATGGTTCTCTTTGAAATGTCGTAAATAAATTTTCGGTGTCTGCATTTTTGAGAAACCTCTGGGTTTTCTCGAAAACGCTCACCCGAAAACGCAGAAATGCTTTCGTTGTCGTTAACTGCGGACTTGTCTTTTCCCAAAATCCTATTCAGGTCGTTACGTCACCACGAAATTTAGGCGGGATTAGTTTTGGTAATTTCCCCTTGACTTGATTCATGGTTGCTGTGATTCATAGGTTGCTGTGGTCATGCCTCTGGGAAGCGTTTGAGTTATCCTGCGAGTGGATTGATAGTTTCTTGCGTAGACCCGTTGATCGGCTGAGAAGTATCGTTTATTTTCCTCTGGCACGTGATAATCTTCTCCACAGATCTTTCTGATTCTTCTACGCTACACAAAGATAAAATTTCTTGATCGGTGTCTCCAAGAGCCTTGCGTTTCGTCTCCACCAATCGACTTACAACTTCTCATTGTTGAAATTGACTTGCTTGCCAGTTGTAAGTGCTTCGTCCTCCAAAATGTCGTCAACCTTTCTCACATTTTTCGTTACAATGGAACTCTGAGTTCCTCGGATTTCTCGCAATCGTGTTAACCTTTCTTTCTTTTCTTCGATCGTCGTCATGATCGTTGTTTGATCCACTTGTCAAGGAGCTCGCTGCCCCACGTTGGGCGTCATGCTACAATACCAGTGTCCCACTTGCATTGCTGATTTTCCCGTGACGTCTTTAAATTTAAAAAATCCAAAAATAAAGAGCCACGAAATATTCATCCTTATCAGGGATAATGGGGTCTAAATTCGTATCTGTTTTCGAATTTTCAGCTCAATAGCGCGCTTGGTTTGGAAACCAGCGCAGGCGTGACAAACAGCTCCGATCGCGTTTGTCGAAAAATATTGACTTGTCTGGTGATTTTTAGCCTTTTTAGCAAATGAAGTGTCAGAAAGTGTTTTTGTACATGTTTGTTGTTTTACTTCATATAATCAATGGGCTAGATAGCCAAAGTAAGTTCCAGATGTTCTACACTATTTTCCGGCCGCCATGCTGGTGGACCAAAGATACTAACCAACATGATGGCTCCATACTGGGCTCTGTTAATTTGCGAAAAACATTTCGGCAAATATCTTAAGTTTGGGAAGACGAAGAGACTTAAAACTTGGAAAAGTTCTTCCTTTACCTTTCTCCTATAACTCTGCAGTTTCTTAACCCTATCCACGGAATATCTCTCTCTCGATGCGTAACATAGAAAACGATCAATAGTCGATTAAACATTTTTATTGTGCGCTTAGCTCAAAGCATCCGAAATCATATACAAGTTATTGAAATCAAGGTGTGTCCTATGCAAACAAAACCGCAAACTCTTGACTAAAATATTCTATGACAAAATACACGTGACTGTTCGTAACATTGATTACACCG